ATGGTCAGGAAGCTCACGGAGGACGGGAAACGCTCGAACGACCTCACTGAAAACCTCGAGGAGTATGCAAACGCTGTCTTGCAAGGAGAAGAGCACCGGTCTATCAAGGAGCTAACTGAAAGTCCTATGCGCCTCCAACGAACCTTTCCGAATCGCAAGCTGCAGCGTACCCTAGACGATGTAACATCCGCTCCAGAGTCGATCCGATATCCGCACGTCCCTGTCAAGCGAGCCCTTGGACAGTTGTGGAGGAGCTTGGGGCACATGATATTGGCAGCTGCGGAGCAAGACCGTAGCGGGCAGGAGACTGTCATGCCGCGTGTCTTGGAGATGATTGCCTACCTGCACCATCTGGGTTTCATGCCTGACTCAGTCTACACATATCGAAATCCCCTGGACAAGCATGCACTTCAACAACCTCCGACCCTTCACATGCTTTCGACCAAGATCTTGACAGCCCTGTCTGACGCCACCTGGAATGCTCACGAAGCTTCCGTCAAGACTGCCAAGGATCGCGCAAATGCCCACTACTTCCTCGGCCATGAGATACCTGGGTCCCGCTACAAGGTTCAGGTCACAGAGGTGGCTCCGGAGCTATGGCTAGAGCTTTGTTTGTGGTCATGTTTACACGGGGGTTGGACACTCGATGGTGCTTACATCCTGGAGAAGATGGCAGCGAAGCAAGGGGACCGCAGCTGGGCGCTTATTAGCTGGAGGGAGATCATGGAAGCAGAGCAACAGAAAAAACCAGCACCACCAAGTCCATGGAACTTGGTTCCGATGAGCGGGAATGCTTTGCCACGTGCAGAAGACCGCGCCCGAACACGAAGGACGATAAGCAGCGAAGTCGTTACGGCTTTTGTCGATGGGCTCGTCAACCAGATGCGACTGGGAGTCGGAGCTCGTGGTGCTACACCAGAGAGCCTAGTCGCTTCTATCAAAACCTTGAAGAACTTCTTAGACAGGAACAACCTAAGTCTCGGTTCCTCAGCTTGGGATTCCATCATGGTCCGGCTTATCGAGTCCGGCGGCTTCGTACCAGAGAAGCGACCCGAGCTGCTCTTGCGCATCTTCGAGCTGGCTCCAGGGTTCGGCACTGAGGTAGGCGCTGCCAACGCATCTGCTTCTTCAAGTACCGAGGTACCCTACTTCTTTGAGCCAACCACTATTCCACTCAGCATATTGCACCGGGCCATGCGTGCTTTCATCAATAACGGTGACATCCAGGGAGCATTGACGACATTGTCCATGCTTCAACAACATACAGATGACAACAAACAAAAGTCTGTACAGGAGTTCTTCGAAATCCTTCGAAATAGTCCGCAGTTACGACAAGACGAGCCGTTCACAAGCCATCTTCCGCCAGTGGAGTTCCCAGCTTTTGAAAACAAGATTCCTATACCTCTCCTCGCGCGGTTGCTGGATCTGGTTACCGAGTCGAAGATGTACGACGTGGGCCGTTGGTTGCTGTTTTCCGATGATCTGGACGGGCCCATTATCGGTCGGGAGCTGCACAGTCATCGCAGCATGTCCGCATCCGTTGTTCGCTTTGGCACAATGGCTGGGGAAAACGAACTCGTCTTGGACGTGATCAAAAGCGCTGGAACTTGGAACGAGAAGCACCAGCAGCAGCGTATGCCGGCTGAAATCTTGATAGCCTTGCTGTGTTCTCAGATCAAGCTTCAGAACTGGGATACCATCAGAGGCATGCAAAAGTATGTGGAAGAAGCATCTACGTTTAGGCCGCGACCTATCATCATCTCAAGCTTTGCTGCAGAACTTCTCCGAACCTCAAATGGTCCCCACGAAGCAAAGACACGTGCTCAGGACTGCTTCACTGGACTGCTCTTTGCATGGGAACAGATGATACTCAGCAACATCCGCGAGGAACTGTACTGCACACTGTCCATACTATCAACTGTAGATGATGAGTGGAAAGATTACTGCGCCCGGTTCCTTTCATTCTCGTCCCGTCAAGCAGTCAATCTTTCCACAGATGACTTCAACCGCGTACTAAGCGGTGTGCTCGACGGATACGGCAGTGCCAAGGGCAAAGAGATCGTCGAGATATGGTGTCACCAGTCACGCAAGAGTTTTGAGCCCTACAGAGCTCCTGGTGGATTACCCACAGTGCCACAATATCGCGTCACCAAGAGCAAAGAATACGAAGATCGACCAGAAGACATTGAGATTGTCCAGGATGGTGGCGCCACGCTCATCCTACAGGGGCGAATCCACCCTAATCGACAGACGATCTGGGCCATCATTCGGAAGGTCCAAAACGAGGTGGAGCTCGAGGAAGGACGTGGCAACGGGTTATCTGAGGCCACGCGTGCAGAACTGCACGATACGCTCAAGTGGGCTGCGCAGATGCTGTACAATCTGGGCTTCGATCACGAGGATATCATTCGTGGTCTAGGCAGTCTTGCACCGCTTGCCAAGCTTGAGGCTCCTGCCTCGCCTAAAGATATCTTCAACGTCGAAGGCGCCGAGCCGACACTGGGAGAGAACACGTGAGCTGCTTACTGCCGCATTGACCAATCGCAACTACACCGTAACCGGCTCACGTGTCCTTCCAGGGACAGAGAGCAGCTAAGCGTTTGAAGTCCGCTATTTCGGCCACTTGCATATAGCCTACCGGACTCTTGTACATACATACATTTGCGTAATGCTACCTCGAAGAAGCATGGGCCCAAAGATGATGACATCTAAAAGTATGGGGACCCCTTGTCGAGTTTACCCCGTTGAAGAAAGTGAAGATATGTTGCGCGTGATCCAGATTTTCCGACCACAAACCCTGAGTGTGTTCGTCGCTTCTAGGCTCCACAGGTACTCCACCCTGTACCAAGCAAAGCCATGTCAACGGCGGCTCGGCCAGACCGACCTTTGGGCATCTGCTGGTTTGACCGACAACGTTGCAGTCAACAACCCAACAAAAGGAAATGTTGTCTTTTGATAACGGGCCTCTCTGCACCTACGAAAATCGACTAGATGGTGTGCCGCTGCAATAGCTAGCGTCTGGGGTATACTTGGGTGGTTAGACCAATGAAAAACCTGCTTTGCATGTATGTACTCCGTGTGTAGGTGTCCGCGGGCCAATGGGGAGCGCCCGACAGCCAATAGAAGTATATGCACATATGACATGTTGAAGATCGTGCAGTAAGCTCGAGAAAGAAAGTCTAGGGTGGGTGGGGGAGGCAGCCGGGAGGAGGTGTGGAGGCGGTGGAAGTCTCTTCTCTACATGTCTTCTGTATTCGGGCGTAAGCTCACAGCAGAACTTGGGCGTACCCAAGCATGTACATGAAGTTTGACATATTATGTAATGGTCGTAATTATCGTCGTCCGCAACCACACGGTGCAGTCTTGACACCTACAAAGTTTGGATGTACGTGGATGCTAACAAAATATTTACTCTTCAGGTACATGCGCGGACGCCCAGTAGCCAATGAAGAGCATATGCACATGTGACTTGTCGAAGATCTGGGTATTGAATCCTAGCTCCGGGCTCGAAGAAACTCGACCCAACCGGAACGCAGTGGATCGGCCCACCAATGCACCCCAAGCAAGGTAAAGCTCAGCCTCACAAAAAAAAGTTGACGCAAAAGTTAACGCAAGGTGTCCAAAATAAACAAAGCGGTTCAGCGGAGAAGGCTCCATAGTCATTGCACGGAAGAGGAAGATCAGAGCAAGCCCTGGAGGTAATTAATTCACATGTGCGATACACAGACGAGTGTCTCAGGGACAGACACCTGCATTGTGACAAGCAGGAGCGGCCCGCAAGTTGCTGTACCTTTACTGTTTGAGGCGCCGGCTACGTTTGCACCTCTTCACCGCTTCTTTGCCAGCGGGCGCCAACGTCAATACCAGCCCAGTGCGTATCGATATGGGTGCATCTGGAGGGGCACAATGCCGGGCGACGTCAAGCGTACTCCAGTTTTGGCAGATCACGATCGCATCGCGAGGTCGGGGTCGCGTAGGCGCAAATTTCGTCTTGATGGGTTTGCTAGAGCGGATATTAAAGATGACGATGTAAGGAGAAGACGGGCAGCGGTAATCTACTCTCTGCGTCGTGCTGTTCGTCGCAGCATGTGCAAACCCGGGGCCTGCGTCTTACAGCCAACCAATAGGCTGAAGCCGTTACCGTGTATTAGCCCCGTGTTGCCTCATCGCTGCACGCACTGCGCACGTCCAAGTTAGTTTCAGTGGGGTTAGTTCGGCGAGAAACCAAAATTTCTTGGTGAGGGGCACGCGACAGGCGTTGGAGGACTGCGCTGGAGAGGCAATTGAAGAAGAAATTACGAGATACGTTGCGCTAGGTGTATAGAGCACCATGTCTTTGGCTGACTTGCATGTCGCATCGGGGCTGTTCATTGGTGCTGGATATGGAGTCATCGCTGCGCGCAAGGAACTAGACGCTCGGACTGCGATTCTACGCTAGTGCCGAACTAAAACTTATCAACATATTCTCTCACTCGCCCGCATTCTCTCTCCACACCAGCCCAAAGACGTTCAAGTCACACAGAAACATACCAGAAACACACAATAACCACATCCATACCCCTAACATCGTCGAGACAATGCCGCAGGCACTCGCTGAGCTCTAAACTCCTGGTGCAGCCCGCCCATGGGCTGCATCAGCCCGACAGCTCACGGAATTTCAACCTCTACGACGATACCAATACTACGACTGCGTGCAGTATCCCCTGCGCAATCTCGTCTCAACCAATTGGCAATCGTCTGGCCTGCGCCGCAAAACACCATCATTGTCATTACTACTTGCTCAACGCTTGAAGATCGACGAAACACCAAGGGCTCAGCATAGTTCGCCAGTCCTTCCCCTCAGTACACCAAAGATCCAGCCGACGAACGCTATCACCCCTCACGATTCCATAGTCCGACCGGCCACTCACTCCGACACCACCCCGACTCGTAACCATCACCCGCGACCCTTCACCACGCCTCCATCACTACAAAGACGAACTTCAAAGACATAACCGACCATGGCTCACCACACGCACGCTCGGTCGCCTACTCTCGGTGGACATAACAACCAAGACCGCAAACTCGTACACGAGACCACTACAAACACCAACGGCAGTGACCAGCGCTCTGCCTCGCCAGACACAGTCGTAGGCAGCACACCCCGTACTCAAGGACGCGGCGGTGACCAGTCGGCTACGGAAGGTGCCGCGGAAGACGACGACGAAGAGGACAGTAGCACTGCCAAAGACATCGAGCTCGACGACGAGACGGATGCGGATGTACCGGCCATGCCCTATAGCTATCGTAGGGGAGGCAAGGGCAAGGGAAAGCGCCCTTCTATCCGCGTCGAGCCTGCAGATGACGACGATTCTCACGCCGAAGACGACGTGAACGAGACAGTGCTCATGCCCAACAAGCACCCGGTAAACCAGCTACTAATGAGCAACAAGAAGCGCACCTTTAGCAATCTCTCAAGCACGTCAGTGCTGTTTGGTGACGATTCCACAGACCAAGAGTCGTTTCCCCGCCGCAAGCTGGCTAGGAAACTAAGCGCCGCCTCTAGCATACCGCTGTTAACCTACAAAGAGGACGACGAACCCCAAGTAAGCTATGAAAACGCTATTGAGAGCGACGATGAAGACTACAGCGGCGTTAATCTCGTCCCTGACGATGACGAGTCCGACATGGAGATGATGGAGCAACAAGAAGAGAGCTACATCCTCCAGGAAGAGCAACAAGCTACTACCCTTCTCAATGAGTATCGTGATGCTCGACGACTCAGTCTTGAGAGTTGTTTGAGCGACAATATCTTCGATGTCACTGTCCCATTAGACGATACGTTCATGGCAAGTCTTCCCGACTATGGGTTCACTCCCTTCTTCGAGCCAGATGCTCTCCCTGCATCCCCTGTTCCTATGGCCAAGAGAAAGTTCTCAGACGGCTCAGCCAAGCGCGTCCGCTTTGACGACGACGTTCAAGTATCAGATAGTTCCAGTTCGGAATCTTCAGAGCTCGACAGCAGTGTCTTCCCTGATCTCTTCATGGATCAAGATAAGATTCCTCCCAGTTTGCATCAACTTCTTGAGATGGACTACGATGATGACAACGGAGACATGGCTTCTCCGCAGTCCGACGCCTCGTTCTGGGACTTTGAGCAGGGCGAGTCGCGCATCACTCAAGTCGATAACTCGGAAGAATCCGATGGCGAGTCATCTGGCGAATCCAGTGGCTATGAGTGTATGGTAGTGCCCTTTAATTGCTTTTACTCAATGACTAACGTTTCTCATCAGCTGACATTGGTGACACCACTGACGAAGAAGACTTTGGTACCGACATACTACCGCACACTCCTAAGCACTCTGTTCTACAGCGACCGGCCTCAGCACCTGGCTCACGCGCTGCAACACCCAAGCCGTTTCAACGAAGCTCTCGTCCGATTGGCCGCCAAATTCCGCCGACTCGCGGCGTCTTCATCCACGACGAGTCTGACCAAGCCATTGCTGTCACTAACAGGTCGACCAAGGCTGTTGCATTCTACCGTCCACGCACGGTACTGATTCCGTGGATTCCTATGACCGATTACCAGAGTAGTACGAGCGGTACTGTCAACAACAGTCCTCGGAACTCCATTGCTCAGCTCAACGCCTCCGACAGCGAGAATAGCAATGAAGTCTTCAACAACAATATCAATACCGACATCATGCTTACTGGCATATTTGGGTCTGCTTCGGGCAACGACTTTGCTTTTGGAAACGAAAGCATTGGTCCCCCGGAGGCATTCTATCCCTTCGTAAGCATTTCTTCCAACGGTAACATGGGCCTCGTTGACGAAGATGAGGAGGGTTCTTCGAGTGATGAATACGATGAGGACCTCAACCTCGCCGACTTCTTGGAGATTGACACCGACGATACCGATGGAGATGAGTTCGACGATGAGTTCGACTTTACTGATGTGCCGGCTACACCGGCAAGCTCTAGCATGCCACATCCTGGCTCCACCCCAGCGGCACCTTCCTCTGTCACGCCCAACGCACGCGCACGGGCTACATCAGACCTTATGCTTCAGCACTTCGACCGTGGCGTCGTTACCGCTTTCCGCAGCAACCAGAACCGTTATCGCGATGTTGCTTCTCTGCCATCGGATCCTGCGGCGCGCGCCTCCGTTTCCCGCCCAGTTCGATCTGGCAAGTCCGCTGAGGCCCTGATAACTCCTCTACGAAAGCGCACTCGGTCAAACAGAGTAGCCAAATCGCCTTTGAAGAACGGCACGACTATGAACCGCAGCTCACCCCTCTCCGGTGTCACCAAGGCTACATCGCGGTTACAAAAGTCGGTCATGGGCTCTCCCACCAAACCCCATGGACCTCCTAAGATGGGAAAATTCTCCTGAGTGTATCACCACTTCACAACCCAACATGCGGCAGATCGGAAGATGGAACGACGAGTATCTGGATGGAAGCATCAGTTGTCTTCCACGGGGCTGTACCGACGACATTACGATACCCATGACCTTTTGTCTTCTAGCTGTTTCAGCGGCTATGTTGTTATTACGCACGTTACATGCACTTGCATATTTCTCAAAAGTCCTTGGATCTTTGTTAGACGGTCCCGGATAAAAGTTGAGCGAGGTGCCTGGCCTTAGAGCGGAACTTTCCATGCGGCAACGCGACGGCATCGTCCGGCTAGTGCAGCCTTATTTGCGTCTTCACGAATTTCCTTTGTTTGGTCGGAGCGTTTTGGTTAAGTACACTGTGTTTCTACGTTGATCTTCGCTGTTCGTCTTGTTGCTTTCTTCAAATGAGCTAAAGGTTTTCTGGGATGATACCACGTGTTTTGCGAGTACGATCTGTATGGGTTCTGCTTCCTCTGGCGTTTGGGTTCACAGTTTGGCAGACTGTTGACCTAATGGCGTTGAGGTCGATAGATGGCTCACAGTCACATCGCATTCGGGTCTCTTATGTATTTGGATTTAAACCGGACGGATGTATCGTGTAGGATTATCGGCATGGCAATGGTAGTTTCTTGCTTAATCGAAATGTGTTCATCAACTTCATCGTGAACAAGCATGTGATCTGCAACAGTATTTGATGTGCCTCTAGATCTTCAAGCGACTCCCGGCTCCGTTACAGGTTCATCCTTCTGTTCCTGCATATGATGGCGCAATCATGGCGGGATGTCAGGATGCTGGCTGGGATGCTTAGCGTGGTGCGTCGTCCGTGCGCGCCCTACGTCACACCCCGGCCCAGCTCCTCCCGCATGTGAAGATCGACGCGCTCGACATGCCAACACCAAGCCATGTAGCCAGCCGTCCCCTCAAGACTGCGATGGAGAAACTCAAGGATGACTTTCGCGAGGATAGGTCACTTCTTCAGATCGCAACAGTAAGACACCCACCCCACGACGCGCGCCATCGCGTTCTGCTGCAGCAAGTCCTGCACATATCCCACACGCATGCTGACCAGTACGTAGGACGCCATCCTTCTCCCCCTCCGCATAGCGACGTCCCCAGCCCTACTGCGAACCTATCTCCGCACGGTCCTTCTCTTCATCACCTCGACCATCCTCTTCGCATTCGCAGTCGTCGCATACTCGTCCTTCTACTACAACTACATACCCGTGCGCGGCATCGCCGTACCCGTATACCTGCAATTCGACCACGGTCCGATAATACCCTATGCGAACGCGCAATCAAATGGCGTACCGACTGGCAAGCCAGCAAAATGGCCGTATGGCCTCGCCAACATACCCGGCTTGGTGGACCGCCAGAAGTACGACGTCGTCGTCGAGATGGAAGTTCCGCGTAGCGATACAAATCTAAAAGCGGGGAACTGGATGGTGGGGCTGGAATTTCGGGGCCCTACAACAATTGGCCAGGGTGTGAAGCATCTACTTGGCTGGGATGAGGAGTGGAGTGTCGAAGACCACAGTCAAGGCGGTACACCCGGTGCCACGGCGGAGAAGGTCGTCACAGAAGGTGCTACGAGCGAGACACCCACGGTACTAGCCAGAAGTCGGAGACCAGTGCTTCTTACGTACCGAAGCCGGATACTCGAGATCATCTACAGGCTCATGCGCCTGCCATTGTATCTTATCGGCTGGCACACAGAGTCGGAACACATTGAGATCAGCATGATGGAATCGGTCATGTTCGAACCGGGATACCGCAACATACCGTCTTCACTCCGCTTAGAAATACGATCGAAACTCCCCCTCGAAGTCTACCGCGCCAGCGTACGCATCAGCGCCAGATTAGAAGGGTTCCGCTGGTTGATGTACCGATACTGGCTCACCAGCGCCATAGTCGGCATCCTCACATTCTGGGGCATGGAAATGGCTGTCTTGCTCTTTACATGGGGTGTTTTTACCCTGCTATTCAGCAGTCCCAGTCCCAACCCCCCATCCCAGGACGATGCGCACCAACGGAAAATCAAGAAAGAAGAAGGCGAACCCTTCCCCAAACTCGAACACGGAGACAACACAGAACCAGGCACGCCGTACAGCGACACGAGTCGTACTTTCCCCACACTCCCTTCCCAACAACCGCTCTCGTATAGGTCGCCCAGTCCGAAAGAAGAAGAAGGGGTAGAGACTAGGCTGGAAGATATTCCTACGAGAGAGGAGCAGGAGGCTGATGATGAAGAGGATGATGATTTCATACTGGAAGAGCCTGTGCCGAGGGGCGTGGAGAGGGAGGGTGTGTTTACGGATTCGGGGATTGGGACGAGTTTGGAGAGTAGTGTTGAGAGGGGGTTGGCGAGGCGGAGGAGTGGGAGGGGGAGTGGGAAGGATAGGGAGGGGGGTTAGTTGCCGATGGGTGGTAATGGTATTGGTAGTGGAACTTGCATTAGGAGGGTGAGGCGGTGTGGGGCTTGTGAGGGGAAGGATGTGAGGAAAGTTCGGTGAGGGAGTGGGTGTGCTGTGGTAGGGGTTGTGTTGTAGGTGATATATCCATTCCTCTGTATTCATGCTATCTCTGTCTCCTGGGTACCTCCTTTATCTTCCAGATATTTGCTCCTCGTGGCACACACAGCCTCTCTCAAACGTCCTTATACACCGGTACAATTCCCTCGGGACACATTGGCATCTATAATCATGACCCGTTAGTCCATATCTCCATACTGAAGGGGAAAAGAAAACAACTTACATAGATATTATCATTACAATAACTCGCACACCATTGAGGCATTGGAGCTCCCTGTGCCCATTTGTACCATGTCGGGTCGCAGATGTTGCTGCATGTGTAGATGGAGCAGTAAGGTGTTGGGATACGAAGTTTGGGTGGCGGTTGTACTCGAGCCACGTCCTTGCGTTGGTTTGGGATGTGACTGAAATTTGGGGGTGAGGTGCCGATGGCGCAGAGGGGGAGCTTTGGGCTTGTGTTAATTTTGTTCTTCATAGTATCTTTTTTGTTGGAAAAAGCTTAGTTGGTTGAGAAAACTTACATCTTTGTCCCCCTGGCAGAGCGCATGACAAGTCTCTGAACCAAGGAAACATGCGGATTTGCAGTTTACAAGCGAACACGGAGTGCCGGATATACTGCTGTGCTGTTCGGCTTGTGAGGCCAGTGGGTGGGCTGTAGCGGTGAGGAGGGTGAGGAGGATGGTGGAGATTGTGAGCTTCATCTCGGTGGTGGTTGGTGGGTTGGTGAGGGGTTGTTGAAGTTTCTTTGGGGAAGTTGGAAGTTGATCAAGTTGATTAAGTCTGAAATGTTTGGTGTGGAAGGAAGCGAGGGGGATGCGTAGGTTTATATACCTCCACACAGTTCAAGACCAAAGTTTGATGTTCATGAACGGGATGGAGTACCGTGCCGCTTAACTTTGGTTAGGTGAGTTGGCATCCTAGATCTTGCTATCACTTGCGACAAGAAGTTGTATGAATGCTTGCTCTATTGGTTAGGTTCTATGATAGATGCCTTCTGTGTGGTTGGAGAAAAGGGTGTGTGCTGAGGAAACCCGGTTCGGGTACCCGAACCAAATTTGGACCATAGTGACGAATAACAACAACTACAACAGGACCATCGAGCAGAGGGGGAAAGATCTGGAACCCTTGGTTCATGGAACTAGGAGCAAGACACGTGCAGTGGACTACACACGGGAAGTTTTGCTGTTGCAGATTTGAAAGGTTGAGAGCTACATCCTGGCAGCGGGCGACGCAATTTCTTTGTTGAACTCGATGTAGGAGTCCGGCTAGAGAATCTGATATATCACCAAAAGAAACACTATATACAAAACCCTCACATCCATTCACACCAAAATCAACTACCTACCACAGTCCCAACCATCCGCCTAAAGCATCGGCCTCTCACTCGCCGGATCCTGCCCCCTCGCAAACTTCCTCTCGATCCTCTCCTTCCCCTTCTGCATATACCCCTCCACCTCCTCAAATTTGATATCCGTCAACCCCGTCTTAACATCCATCTCACTCCTCTCAACCGTCTTCGCCTTGATAAACACACCATTACACGCCATCTTCTTCTCTTCAACAACCTCCTTACAGAACTTGGCGTACTCGCTAAAATGCACGGCGCTACTTGGGACACCCTCGAGCAACATGGCGAAGCAATGTGGCATAGCTTCGAAGTCGCGCCACACGACTGGAACACCCTGAGCGACGCACTGTTGCGCCATAACGGCATCTTCATCTCTGAGCATTTCTTCGCCGACGGAGAAGAATAGCGGTGGGCTTTTGCTCCAGTCTTTTGCGATGAGTGGGGAAACGAGGGGATGCATCAGCGCACTTGCTTCGGCGTAGAAATCTGCGCGCGGGGGGTCCGCCGGCCACACGCCTTCGTCTTTGGGGAATTCTCTTGCATCGGTTGAGCTGGGCGGGGGGAGGTAGTCGTATGTTACTGCGCCCTCGATAGAAGGTAAGCTACGCGTGATATCCAGCCAAGGAGACGCGAGGGCTACACCAGCCGGAAGAGGTATTTCCACCTGCTTGCCGTGGAAATTGACGGTTGGGGTTTGGCCAGCGGGCGTGCTGCGGTGGATTTGAAGGAGCAGTTGGAGGAGCGCCGTGCAGCATGTTCCGCCTGCTGAGTCGCCTCCGAAGACGATTTCGCTGGCGGGGACGGGGTCGTGGAAGGAGCCTGGGGGCGGGTGCAGCAGGGAGAGGTACGCTGTGAAGCAATCTAGCAGGGCGGAGGGGAAGGGGCCTTGCGGCGAAAGGCGGTATCGCACTGAGAAAACGCGGCCGCCTGTTTCTTTCGCGAGGCGACCTGTCAAGGGCCGTGATGTCGCTGGGTCGAGAAGGTACATTGCGCCGCCGTGGAAATAAAGGAGTGTGACTTTGCTCGTCGTTTCTTTCATGAGGTTCTCGTATTTATCTTTTTCGCTCATGTCGGCAGGTTCGGGTTCGTCGTCTTTTGCGGAGGCGCGGTAGCCGTCCCATTCTGCTTCTAGAGGGCGCTGCTCTGGCTTCGTCCATTGCTCTCCTCCGGTGCTCATGTCGTCGATGGCTTTGAACATTATTTGGCGGATGTCGTCTTCTTGTGGTACATCTAGTTTAACTTTGCTGACCCAGATTTTGCCTTTGACGCCGGGGTCTTTGCAGGTTAGACGCTGCATCTTTGAGATGGGCGTTGGTGTGGAGTTGGGGCCCATCATGTCGCGGAGCATGTTGACTGTGATTTCCGTCTTCAGATCCCATTTTGAGCTTGTCGGTGACATGGATAGAGAGTGCCATAGTGCTGTTTTCAATAGGAACGGAGTTTTGGGAAGCAGAAGCTTGAGCAAGGCTGAAGGCGAAGCGTCCATGTTGGTGTTGTTCCGCGGAGGCGTTGACTCAGGTCTTCGGTCTCGATGACTGTGAACGTGATCGGAAATCACACTTTTACTGGTTTGGAGTTTGGAAAATTGGATTTTCGAGGTTTCCCAAGCTATACTCAAGGTTAAAGGAGAGAAGGAAGTCACTTTAGTGGCAAAGAGGCAGTCTTGACGTCGCGCTACTAGACCAACGCGGCATATAACGATGCCTCGGCACGAGTCATGATCTCATGCACGATATACGGTCTATACGCCCACGTGGGGGAATCTACGAAGACCCGCAAGCCGCAGCGATTGACGCTAGCTGTCCTTCCAGAAGATCAATCTTTGTTTATGTCTTTGGTACGATAAGATGTTTATTGCATGTATCGAAGACGAGACCTTCACTACCACCTCCTCCTTCTCCCCCACCCACCCGGACTCAATCGTTGGCGGTAGTGCAAATGCTCAATCACATGCCGCAGCGTCTACACAGAGTCTTCAATCTTTGATCCATCATTAAGATAACACGTCGCGTTATTGTCTAATCATCAATAGTATTCAAGTACTATGCGCATACCTAGGTAGTAATAATGTGTTATGCGGGTTAGTGGTATCTTCCCATGTCGCCTTGTACCAACCAAACGCCTAATACCTCAATTCCCTAAACAGACGATACTGTAAGCCATATCCTTCTTCTTCGTCCCAAAGCGTGGTTCGTGTCCATGGCAATCCATTCGCCAAGGAGCCAGCAGTCTCGTCGTCGATCATCGAATCACGACGAGAGCGTTGAGCTTCTGGGCCTGACGATGGTGGTTTCCGATAATGGATCTTGAAGCCGGTGCGCTTGGCCAGACTGATGATATTCCGTCCTTGAAGTGTCTTCTAGCCATCCAATTCACCCTCTTCACTGCCCCTCTCTGTCGCGTTGCCATCGCCCGTGCCGTTGGCAGGAGGTTGGCTTTGGCTTGTCGCTTGTACGCCTTCCATACCATCGGGCGTGTCCCCGAAGTCGATGCCGTCCTCGGGTGTCCGGAGCCCTGCGTACATGGAGGGTTCTCCATCTTTGTCTGGCGACTTCTCGTACAGATCCGCCATGAGGTTGCATGCTCTCCGGATGTCGCGCAACTGGACATGTTGTATCTCCCACCATGGCTTTCCGTCGTCGTCCCCCAGCTCTACCTCCGCCATACGCGCGCCGGCGTACAGCGATGCTGCGGCGATCGCTCGCGATGTGAACAATAGGCACATCTGTGTGGACGTCGAGTCGGAGAGGAAGGCCCAGGCTGAGTTGCGCAGCTTCTTGTTATGCTCGACACCGTAGTACTTCATCATGTCGTACATTGTCTTGTATGGTGATTCCACGTTTAGATCGAAGCACAAGGCTTCGAGTAGGACGTCCTCGCTGTACAGGATTGTGTCGCGCCATTTCCAAAAGTCTTTTGTCTGCTCGTCGACGAGCTTGTTGGGATCCTTGAGCGCGACCCGGACGCATGAAACAACGAGTTCTTTCATTTTGCGACAGTTTTCTTCGACTTTGGTCGCGAGGAATAACGCGGTTGCGGCGATTTGCTGGTAAAGTCAGACGCGTCCATATCGCATCTATCAGGAAGGGGGACTCACATAGTGGTGTAGTGGCTTATACCCCGGCCGCGGCTTCAAACTCATTCGCATCAGGTAGCGATTGAAGAAGACGGCCGCTGTACTAAGCGTAGTCTGTGGTAATTTGAGCATCATGCCCACCTGCAATATAAACCCGACACCCTTCCGCCGTAGTGTGCGCTCCTCCTCAGCGGGCATGCCATCGCATATCGACGGCGCCAGTAGCAGTTCTTCTTCGGTGAAAATCCACTGCATCTCGGCTTCGATGACGGCCGGCGGTGGCGGTCTGGGGGGCTCACGCTGCGGCGCCATCGCGCTGCTGGCGGTCGATACCATCACCGAGGGTTGTAGCACTAGAGGTCGTGTTTCGATGCGCGATAGTGGTGGTACAGATGGCGCGCAAAGGATATGTTCCGATCCGGTATGGCGTCCCCGTCGTCGCTGATGGATATGTTAGAC